ATAATGAAAAATATTTCCTGAATTTAAGAAGTTTTGCCAAATAATAACGATTTTGTCTACGACCATGAATTCATATTATCCTGTTTCAAGGAATTAACTATTAGCAAAACATCTAGGTCAGTTGGTCTGGTACATTCTTTGCATCTACTTATGAATCCGCAGACGAAAATCATAAAGAAAGGGATGTAGCGGACAATAAATCTTGTTCAAGTTCGAATTCATTTTCGAACAAACAAACAAAATCAACTAGGATCGATATTTAGAACTTAAGTTAATTAAGCTTGTTTCATTTAACTTAAATGAACATAAATAAACTTGGTTTATTAACGCAACTTTCTTCTGATTCATTTAAATTTTATTTTAATCTGTGTGTATCCAAGGTTTAGTTTTTAAAAAAGTGGTTGAATACATATCTCGAAATTTCATGCAAATTATTTTTAAGAATTCTTTTTCTTTTCTTCAAACTTTTATTTGGGATATTTTTATGAATAAATTTTCAGCACAGATCAAGTGTTTAGTTGAAATAATTTAAATCGATGAATTTTTTTTAACGCGTTAGTTTTAAAAACCTAAAACAAACTGAGATCGGAAGCTGAAGTTGGACGGAAACAGTTCATATAAACCAAGAAACTGTTTTATAATTTTGCTTAAGTTATACTTAATAATTTAGGCAGGTAACATAAAAATTAAAAGCCATATTTTAATTTTAATGATACTTGTTAATTACATAGTTTTCGTATTAATTTACGCCAGAAAGAGAAATTTTGATGAAAAATACATTCAATGGAGATCATACAGAAATATTTTTTTTCCTTTCCGAATCTTCTTCATTGGTTTTTATATATTTTGCGAGTTTATATTAAAATCCTAAAATTTATCGTTTTGTATATTACAAAAAATTCTGCGAATTATTTGTTCTAAATGTAATTTCCAATTATTATTGAAATGTATATAAAACAAATCATAATGCATATAAATCAACAATTTCGCAGAATATATTGCATATCTTTAGAATTTCATTTTACAAAGAGAAACAGTGTAAATACAAAGCTAAAAGTAAAACAACTTATGATGAACCAGCTAATATTGATTGCGAAAAGAACAGAAAGGAGTTACAGAAACAACTGTTTGCCGGCGTTAGCTAACACCGAAAGCAGGGGAGTAGATACTTAGCAATGTTTCATTTTGTAAGTGTGTTAAAACATTAAATAGATAAGTCGAATCCAAATTGCGTTTTTCATACTATCATATGTTTACTATCTTTAGTTATTTTCTCCAAGCACGCGTGGGCTAAATTCTTATAATCAAAAATTAAGGTAAAGTAAAGATTAAAAAACTAAAAACATTTTAGACTAAGAAAAAAAGTACAGTAGAAACTGCCAGGTTATGGTATAATTTAAAGTGTTTTATGGCTCTATGGAAACACCAAAAAGTACGGTAATTTTTCCGCAGTTAATGACTTTTGGTAAAGTTAAAAATAAAATATAGTTTCATTTTCATGCTACTTCGAAACTTTATCGAAAGAATCGAAAATTTTAACAGTACTAGTATAATTTAAGGCTAACAGAAAAATTTTCCGTTCTGTAACCTCCATTTATTAAGTCAATAGTTGTTAACTTTGTTTTTGATGGTTTCGTTTTATTCATTTTTATGTAAACTATGAGCTAACATCTACCAACTTGCGTATTTGTCAATATGAAAATATGTGAACAAAGCTGAACCAAATCAGTGACTTAACTATTACATATCAGGCTGTCCCAATGTTTTAAAATAGAAGCGTGGAGGAAGCTGGTTTGAATCCCGCCGCAACCCTGGATATATCTTTTTAATTTATTGCTACTCCGAAGTATGTAAGCTTAAGTGTTCCTTGCGAAGTTTAGCTTAAAATCCCTTGTCAAATTGAAAACCCGATAGTTTAAGGTAGAAAAAATCAGCTCAATGATACGTTAAAGGATACGGTGGAATTCAAAGCCACTACCCCAACTCTTCAATAGATGCATTTTTGTAAATTCCTCCTCTAACTTGAGCTTTCTATACTTTTATTTGGCCATGTCTTATAAACTGTGTTTTACAATGAGCACACTAGATAGCATATGTAGGTGTAACAATAAATAAATGTTTAGTTTGTTTAGTTTTTTATACATTCGTTTTACAGGGGCCTCACTGGGACTGAGCAGACTCACCGTTCTAGAATGGAGTTAGCGGGTTCGGATCCCACCGCTATCTTGGATGTATAAATAAATACTCTTTAGATATACAGTGTGATTCTAAAAAGATGGGCAAAATTTTAGGAAGTGATAGTACACACCCAAGCAAACAACTTTTATCAAAGAATGCCTGGTCGAAAACAAAATGCAAAGGTACTGGCGCATTTGGAAAGTTGTTTGTTGCAAACGTGAAAGCTCCATTCCTGTTGCGAGTTACTGCCCTGCGAGTTATTATTTGCATGTTGTGGGAAGAAGAAGAGCTCATATGCAAATTTTTCGTCACGATTCATACATAAAAGCTGCTGATTCGAGTGCTATAATGTCTAAAAATATTTAAAAAAATAATTGACTTTTTGTGGGGACAGCTGGAGGCTCTCATGTATGAGACTCCCATTGAATCTGCAGAAGAAGTTGTCGCCAAGCTTTCGGCCACTGCAGGGAAAGTTCGTGATATGCCTGGTGTGTTTCAGAATGTTCGTCTATCTTTTCTTCGCCGTTGTACTGTGTGCATAACCACTGCCAGCCACTGTTTTGAACACTTATTGTAATCACATGCCATTAAATTTGCTTTTATAACTTAATTTCATCGTTCTTTGTGTGTTTTTGCCTCATATAAGAACATAAACTTTGACGCCCTCCAGCGGTTTTGCGTTTTGTTATCGACTACTCATTCTTTGATAAAAATTGATTGCTTGGGTGAGTACTATCACTTCCTAAAATTTTACCCATCTTTTTAGAATCACCCTGTATATGCAGGCCCGTGTGTTTAATACACAGAATGACCTGTCTCTTGTCAAATTTAAAAACAGGGAGCACAAAATTGAGAAGGACAGCGAAAATATATTAAAGTCGATTAGTCTACGCTTCAGAGCATTTAACAGGAAAAAAAACTCAGCTACGGAGGCCCCAATTAAGTTTAGTTCTCCTACTTGAAATAAATCCTAGGGGACATACTAGTGAAGTATCGCTATTCTGCTAACTACTCTGAAGAGTAGATGTTTTGGAATGCTATACCCACTATAACAGTGAATGCACATTTAGACTGCCCTTCTCAAATTTGTACAACTGTTTTTTTTTTTTTTTTTTTTTTTTTTTTTTTTTTTTCAAATTGAAAAGAGCAACTTTTTTACTTGCCTATTTTGTCCACCATGTCGGGTTAAAACACTTCAAATATTTAATGTGTATGATTATTACATGAAAATGTGTTTGAAAATTAGCAATATAACAAATTTTTAAATTCATATATTTAAATTACCGAGCTCAGGGGAGACACAAAATATTGTTTTTAAATACTTTAAAGTATTGTAATTATTTTTATTGTTTTGAGTATTGAGTATTGTGTGATTGATTATTATATGAAAATGTGTTTGAAAATTAGCAATATAACAATTTTTTAAATCCATATATTTAAATTACCGAGATCAGGGGAGTCACAAAATATTGTTTTTAAATATTTTTGAGTATTGTGATTATTTTGAGATTATGCGTTTCTCTGATTTTTTGTTAATCTCATAATAGTATATTGATGTTCATAATAGTATATTGATTTTTTGAATATTCACTTAATGTCTAAAAATAAACAGTTAATATTAAAAGACCACAATCGGGAAAAATTTTAAACAATGGTAGAGAATGATTGGGGAAACAAATTAAGTTTACTTATTCCTATCTACAAAGAACTATCTGTGAATAAAAGGAACTATATATTTATATGTTAAAACTAGTCAACTTAAATTCCTAAAGTTAAAAGGAAATTAAAATTTCTAAAATTTTCGACAAGCTTATGAAATATTTATGACCACATTTTAAATATTTCATGGATGTCACCACCTTGTTATAATAAAATATTGAAACGATTTAATCAATGACATCTGCTAGGTATGTTGCAAGAAATTTGTATTTATCACCTTGATCTTCAACTACAAGTGATTGAAATCATCATTTAAATTAGAGAACAAGTTAAATCAATAAAAAAAACGCCTTCTAATTAATAAATTCAGTTTATTTATAGTCAATATTAATATTTGCTGATTAAAGAATTAAAATCAGCATATTAGGAATTTTAAAAATACTAAATATTGCTTTTTTTTCCAAGAAATCAAAATTTTAAATGTTTATTTGAAGAAAAAAAAAGGCTTATACACCAAATTCTTTTATGTTAATACCTAAAAGTATTATATATCAAGTCACGCAAAATATTATGAAAGATAGCAATACTTAAAATGTTTGTGTAAGTAATGTGTGTGTTTTTTAAAATATTTTTGAAGGGTTAATTTTTCAATTTTCAAACTAACTCAGTTAGTGCTTTCTAAAATTTCATTTATTTAATAAACAATAAGCAAAATAAGTAAATAAAATAAATAAATAAAAAAGAGAAAATTGTTAATGCTTTATTTTGTAACGATTTTATTTCGATTCGTAGACTTGAAAGTAAAAAAAAATCATTTGTGTATATATCTCATATATATTCATAGTTCATATTAATGTGCAAACGTTGTATAATATTCAATTTATTATGAAAAATGTGGAATATAAAAAAAATGTAAAAAGTTTTCTTTTTAAAAACCGTAAAAACTTTGATAACAAGAAAATGTAAGATGGCAAAGGACTATAAAACAATATCAGTTAAAAGCATGAAAACTTATCTTTTTCAATATTTTTCAATGCGTACTGAATTTTTTATAATTTAATTTCTGTTGCTGTTGATTTTTGTTATTTACTCTCATTAAATTTAAACAAACCCTCTCATAAGAAATGAAAATTTTAAATGCAACAAAGAAGCAAATACAAATATAACCAAAATATTTTGTTTATTTTCTTATAAATAACAAAAGGTGTTTATGCTCAGCATATGACAAACAAAAATAGTTTGGCTAACAAAAAAGCTTTCTTCATTTGCTTTGTAAAAAAATAGATATTTGGCTCGGAGGTTTTAAATAGTAACTTAAAACGATCATTCGTTCAGGAAACATAGAAAGTTCTTAAGCACCGAAATCAACCTAGAAGGAGAAAAAAACTATATAAATATATGGACACGATTAATACTAAATTATATATAAATGATCTAATACCATTTTGCTCTATTTGATTATTTCTATTTTTGTTCCATGAATAAAATGTACATTATATACAAGATGCGTACATTCAAAAAATAATAAAATATTCAAAAGCAGGAACACGACAAACAGCAACGTATTAACTATAGCAATTTTATAGTTTCTTGGATATAAAGTCATGAACTTAAATAATTTAAATAATGATCATGCTTTCACAAAAAGGTTAAAAAGCGCATTATAGGGATGCCAGTTTTGGCAACATTATTTATTTATCTCATTTTAATGAGTTAAGTAAACGAATCAATTAGTTCAGGTTTTTACAGAACTTAAAAAAACAAGAACTTCTTAAAAAATATATCACTATATAATTCATTCAATATATGAAAGAATTCAAATTATTTTCTAAATCATCGTTTACTGGTGAGTGCTGGTTAAATGAAGCAACAAAAACTGGCTTAATATTATTAATTTGAAATTAATAATATTCATTAGAATTTTACACTATATACGTCTTGCTTAACTGAACTTTTAGGCATCGCATATTTTGTACCGTTTTTAAAGTTTTGTTTGAGTTTAAGAAAAAGATGTCATTTGTTTATACCTAGTGTTATGCAAAATAAAATATTCTGCCAAGTGAAAATTGAAATATTAATAAATAATTCTTTCAAGACAACTCTCGAAATTATGATAAAATGCATTACAAAAATATTTTTCTCTTCTTTATCTACAAGATTATTCAATTGCTTAAAACAACTAACAACTAACTTTAAAGGCAAACTATTGCCAAGTGCTTATTCATTTCTTAATGGTTATATGCTAAAGAAAATTGATTATTTTTTTAATATTTATCCATTCATTTTCTATATTTATCTCCAAATTTACTCTACAATGATAAACAATTTTTATTAATTTCTAAATCAACAATATTAAAGCAATTTTTTTCCAGATAGTTAGTTAATGCTTTTAGTCATTTTTACATTTTTTAGTCTAATTATATTTATTAAGATTTGATGACTCATTATTTGCAATAAATCCATTATTTATCTTTCATACACTATTTGGCTATTTATTATTTGACTAATTAGCAGTATTTTGCTATTACTTAGCATTTACCTATTTCTTCCATGCTGGAATGTAGGCAGCGGAGTAGGGGAATGGTGCGGAGTAGATGTAAGGAGCAGCTGCGGCGGCGACGTAGGGAGCATAAGGAGCAGCGTAAGGAGCAACAACTGGAGGAGCGTAAGCAACTGGAGCTGCTGCTACTGGTGGTACGTAAGCTACGGGAGCAGTGTTGTAAACTTTGCCAGTGAGAGCGCTGGAGTATTGTCCAGTTGTGAAATCATAATAGTTGCCAACTAAGTCCTTAACTCCACCAAAGCTAGCAGCTGAGGCAACAGCCACGAAGGCAAGGGCAAAAGCGAGAGTTGCCTAGAAATGAAAATAAAGAGATACATAAAACAAAGCATATATATTTCCTAAAATAGTATTCATGTAAGTAACACATTGCTGAAATTTTCGCTAAAATTATTTGAGGTTGTTTATTTATAAAAAATGAAAAAAACTCATGTGAATTTTTCTATTTGGTTATTGTATTTGTTAGCAAATCTCATGATTCCTTTGAAAAGAATTTTCTTGTTATGCTTTGTATTATTATTCTCCAACATAGAGTAAGCGATATATTTGAATGTACGGTATGATGATAGTAATTTTTATTAATTTGTAAATCAGCACAATTAGAAAAAAAAATTTCCAGATTTATGTCACAAAATAATGTACTTAAAATTGATATCTAAAACTAAATCACTGATTCTAAATAATGTTCTGTAATTTATTACGATTAAATCCAATTATAGATTAAATTCATAAAACGTAAAAGAATAAATTCGGTTTTAAAAATTCTAAATGCAACAAAGCGTTTAGGTGCTTAATTTTGCGCGAATATAAATGAAAAATTCTCAAAACCGCTTCGCAGATATGGTCAAATTGTTAATGCAAGAACATTTCACATATGAGTAAAAATGTAGTGCATCAAAAATTTCAAAATTATTAAATTGGTAGAAACCACATATCTTTATTTAAATTCTACCACAATATTTAAAAACTATAATCTTCCTAAAATTTTTTGGCGCGTTCACAAATGTTGCTTCACATTTTTTTTCTTCATTTCAGATGTATTGTAAATAAGCGGAATAAAATATGAACTTTTTATAAAATTCAGTTTTTTCTTTTTTTTCCTCAACAATGATTATAATTTACGAACGAGGAGTAAAAAAATTCCAAGCTTGTTTCAAATCGTTTTACATTAGAAAGTTGAAATATGGCTGAACACAATGAATACTTCAACCCAGTTAATACCCTTCCGTGAAAGCAGCTTCATGACATAGCGATGAATACAGATGTCATAAATAACTATACAACAATGCAGAGAAACGACACTTTCCTTTCTATAAAATGTAATGCAGGAATTTTTTTAATCAAACCGAAATCTGATTTCAGCATCTTAAAGAGAATTGAGAAATATTTGGAATTAATTTCTACTTTTGATTAATTATCTGCTTATAGTTCGTGCGCCAAATTCTATTTATAATTTAAGAAATTTTAAAGTTAGTTTAACTCAATGCTTGTTTATGCACATTAATATCTTTCTTTCGAGTTAATAAATAAGTATAAAAAAAGAAAGCTCACAATAAAATAAATGCAGTGAAATTGGTTTTTATTGTTTATTCTCTAGAAAGAATTTACCAAAATTAGTCAAATTTTTTATTCTAAATATTTATTAACTTTTTTTAGACTTTTGAAAATTATTAAAACATTACAGTTTAAAATTCTGCGGCAAGGAAGAAACTTGCAAAAATGTAAGAGTTAGATAGTTATCCGTGCATTATTTTAGGATTGATACGCCTATTTAAAAATGTAAAGTTATTTAGACAAATTGATAAAATAATTTTTCGAGTTTTATAAATAAAATAAATAATATTAGTTTATAGGTAAAGAAATATTACAAAATAATGCTTTTAAGATTGAAATATTTAATACAAGTTTGCAATATGCATAAAACTTACTTATGCCAAGAAAAAATTGCTGCAAAAGTAAAATTAGTACGAAACTTTTAATAAATAATAATTAATTTAACTTAAAACTTTTTTGTTAAAGTTTTATTCAAATATAAGTTTCTATAAAATTTCTCTTACTTTTTTACGCAGAAATTGTATAAACTTTAGTAAAAATTTCGTATATGTAGAATTTAATTACTATTTTTTATTAGCAATTTTGTAGCCTTAATTATTACAATAATAGCAATAATATTGCTTTTAGAAGATAAATACTGGGAGTTATTATACATTAAAATAATTGGAAAAATGGAAAACTTTTAAATGTGCTCTGCTATTAGGTTAATGATAAGCATTATAATTTACAATTTTACTCTCGAATATTTTAATAAATCTACTAGATAACTAATAAATATATCACCAATCAAAACTATAAAAACTTGTTATTTAATTTCATTAAAATTTATTTTTAGTAAACTAATTCAAGTAATTATTTTGTTTTAACAAACTTGTTATAAAACTTGCATTTAATTGAATTTAATTTAAAGATTAAATTAATTTTAAATCATACGGAAGAGTTATCTTATTTTCAGATTAATTTTAGAATTTTTATTACTATTATTTTACACAAATTATTTTTATTTTATCAATTTTCTTAATATCCACTCAGTTTTAATTAATTTTTTTAATAATTATATTTATTAATATTATTTTTATAACAATATTAGCAATTTTACTTTTAATCAAATAAAGTTTCCAGTAAGATACGCTGTTATTAATTAAGCTAAAACTAGTGAAAGCATAAGCTTTTCAGAAAATATTTTTTTTACTCACGAATTTGGCCATTTCGATAAGAGAGATTGTTGTTTGCTTGTCTGATGCTAGACTGTGCAAGATGCCTTCTCCATAAAATCTTTCTCTTTTTATACTTGATATCCATGGTCAAACTTTCATTACAAATTCCACAGAGAAACGTCATAGGCATTCCCTAACATCAGATGGTCCTCAAAACCCCTCCCTATGGAACAATTCCCACCTCTTCCATCGAAGCCAATTGTCTTATTCTTGGCTTTGTTTTATTTGTGATTTTCTTTTTTAGAATCCGAAAAGGTAAAGGTGTGGTTGAAGCGAGGGAAGGAGAAATGCTTCTGAAGGACGTTTGTTACAATTTCCCCAGTTTTTTTTTATTATTCTCTTCTTTAACCATTTTTATTTTAATGAAGTGAAGAGAAGAAATGATAAATTCAGACGATTTTTTAACTTCTGATCTAATTTTTTGTTTTGCCAATGCATTTTGAGATATCAAGGTTTATAACTCAATTTTATTTATTTGGAATGTAAAAAAGGTGAGGTTATGTTAGAGATTGAGTAATATTTTTTTATTATCGCAGAATGCTCAACGTTAATGATAATGCTGAACAAAATAAACATGAAGTAAATTTAATTTTTTAAGAAAATATTTATTATAATATGACTTTTATAAAAAAATATGTGAAAGTTTGTGTAATGTGAGATTTATTATCATGAAATTGAAATTTCAGAAAATATTCTCAAAAATTACTAATTTTTTATTGTTAAAAAACTAAAATCATTCGAAATCAGATAAATATTTGCTGAATTTACTGAGTTTAGGAATTCATTTCTAGGGTATTTTAGCACTGTTATAAAATAATTTTGCTCATTTAAACAGAAATTAGATAACAGAATTTTTATTTAAAAATTCTGTTAATATTATTTAAATATTCTGTTATTTAAAAGAAATAACGCTAGGAGGGTGTTCCCATAATAGGATATTTCGCTCTAGAATATTAATAAGTAAAAAATGTATAAAGTAGTAATAACATCCTAACTATTCTTTTATCAGTGAACAATCAACATTTTCCCCCTTATATTTTTTATCGATTAATACAAAGTTTATTACTATTTTTACATATGTAACAAAAAGATTAGTCTCTATTTTGTTATTGGTTTCAATAATATTCTATTTCAATTGGAAAGTATTATTGTTCATTGTAAAATACTAAAAAGTATAGATTTAAATTAATAATAACTTATGTTTTTGGAATTAAATCTAACAATAATTAGTATTTGAATCTAAAATTTACAATAATTAATAATTGAAACTAAGACTAGCAACAGATAATGATTAAAAATTAATTTATTAATAATTTGCAACTAAAATTAAAATTATCCACAGCTACTGTTTGAAGCTTAAAGTACTAATAATTAATAACAGAAAATAAAACTAATAGTAGCTAACGATTTAAATTGGAATTAAATATTCCATATTTAATAGCTGGAACTTAATATAATTTTTGCAATAACGTGTTTATTAAATTTGGTATCACACTTGTTAATTGCATAAATAATAATTAGAAATTGTAAGGAATTATTTTCTAATATCAGTTGAAAAGTTCATGATGTCAAGTATCATTTGTTGAGGAGACTAATCACACTGATAAGAATCTTACAAATTATATCTTTCTAAGAAAGATTAAAGGAAGATAAATTTTAATAAAATTATATCTTTCTTTAAGAATGTTAAAGCTCATGAGACAATATAAAAAATGTTCGTGAATCAAAATTAGAATTTTCAAAATAACATTTTATTTTATATTTTATAACAGGCTTCGAACAGCCAACCAAATTCTGAGTTTATGACTATCAATTTTATACTACGCAGCTTTGAAATTTTGAGCCCAACCAAGAAGACACCTGGATTAAGCCCAAAACTGTGGGATTTTTTTTAAAAAAAGTATCTTTTTGCATTTAACTCTTCCATTCATATTATTCTTAAACTACCAGGTCTGATACAAGGGAAAAAAACTTTTTTGCGAATGTTTTAAAATAAGTCAAAATAATGTTAACTTTCTGCCTTTAAATTTTAAACCAACTTGTTACAACCCTTGGTGCAAAGATGGCACAGTGATTAAGACACCAAGCACTAATTTTGAAGGACAGAAGTTCGATTCGCAGAGACTAACTAACTCTATATTGATGGATATTAGCTTGATAGGGAAGAAAAAGCGGCTCATGCGCAATATTAACCATATTGCCATTATTATGCTGTTAGTCTCGTTTGTCTGTTGATTCTGTTGGTTTCAGAACCTTAATCTCTATGACCTCTTTGCCTGACAATTAGCTGTTATTGGATATAAAAAGCGTTGTGAAATAGCCTATTGTGCCTTTTAAATTTTAGATATGTGTTAAAGCAAGCATTTTGCTAAAAGTTTATTACTGAGCAATTTTTCTGCTGATTCAGAAACCCTAACAATAGTATACAAAATATTATTAAAGAAATACGTAATTAAAGGAGGATTAATTAATAAGAATAAAGATAATTTTAATAAAGAAGTGTTTAACTATTTTTACCCAATTTTCTTTAATAAAAAATGTAATCCAACTTTAGAATGCAGAAATAATATGTAATTTTCACTACTGTGATATATTATTCATGAATTTTAATGCAATTTTTAGTATTGGGATATACTGTTATTAAATTTTAATACAATTTTTACTTCTGTGATGTATTATTTATGAATTTTTAATGCAATCATAACTACTGTGTTATATCATTTGTCAATTTTAATGCAATATATGCTACTGTGATATATTATTCGGGAATTTTAATGCAATTTTTAGTATTGGGATATACTGTTCGTAAATTTTAACACAATTTTTACTTCTGTGATATATTATTTATGAATTTTGAATGCAATCATAACTACTGTGTTACATCATTTGTCAATTTTAATGCAATATTTGCTACTGTGATATATTTATTCGCGAATTTTAACGAATGTTTTACTACTGTGATATATTATTTAGAATTTTATCTTTACTATCGTCGTTACGATGTTTTAGTTCTTCTTAATATGACTTTTATATCACTTTAACTAATAACTTTTATTAGAATATTTGGTATAAACACTGAAATGAAAAAAAAACTGAAATTGTATTTTTAACAATTTTTAGCATACCAATAAAATAAGTAGCCAAATTAAATAGTTAATATTTTCATACAATTTACAATGCGAAATATAATATTCCCCAACAATTGTACTTGACCCTTTTCAGAATCATGAGTTTGAATTTAGGACTTCCATCTGCTTATTGTTATAATAAAATGAGATGGATATTCCATAAATTTCTTCTCGCGTCTCAGAACATCTCTGAAATTATAAGTCTCGTTCGTCTTTCGAAAACAAATGTGCGACTGAATAGCCCTGCTAAGATCGTTTAGTTATTTAAATTCAATTCTTGGTTAACAAAAACTCACATAAAAAGTGCCGTTATCGACCTTTATGTGAAGGTTTTTCTTTTCATTTTTTCCGTCACGATTTTAAAACTATTTGCTTGCGAGGAAAAAAAAATAACTTAATGATATAAAAAATTTGTGATCTCAAGAAATGCTATTTATAACTATAAAAAGATTCATTCTGCGCATTCGAGATAGTGACAATAATGTAAGAATTTTCTCGTGCCTTACATTAAATTTTTAATATGTTTTACGAATACAAAAGCGTTAATTATTATTTAAAGCTAAGAATCAATTTTGAAACACAAATTAAAATTTAAATTAGGAAAACTGCTTGATGCTAAAGACAATTGAATAGCTGTTCTATGCATAGATTTCAATTATGCATTTAAATCTATTTTATTTTAATTCATATATTTAAATTATATTTAGATTCTAAGTGGCTGCTTGAATGTGAATTTTTGATTTTGGTTCTCTAGATTGTATTTTTTCTTAATTTATATCTTTTCTTTCTAACTTTCATTTAAATCTGAATTAAAATAATTTTCTAGGGTAGGAGAAGGAATTAAAATTTAGATTATGATATTTGATCGTTTATTAAAAAATCAGTCGGTTACCGGTTTGTTAATCGTTATCTAAATAGCGTCAAAAAATACTGTTCAAAAAATTATTTAACTTGTCCAAAAAGAGTTATAAAAACATTAATAATTACAAGAGTGGACCATTTTGAATTAAAGTTAAAGAATATATTAAATTTTAATAACGACGTTTCACATATGAAACTGAAATATTATATGCAAACTGGACCATTTATAACTGAAACAATTGTTATAATTTTCGCATAGATATTGTAATTTGCAGGGTATGAACTAAATTCTATCGTTTTTTTCAACACTGGAAGGAATAATTGCATAGAGTTAAAAGTTGAGCAAAATAATATTTTTTATAACACAATATATCATTTTTAATCTAGTCATTTGATATGTTTAATTCTCATACCACATGCATAATTCAAAATAAAAAATAGCTAATTTTTTTTATAAAAAATCACATTAGTTTATTTTTAAATTCGATAAAAAACAAAAAAGGCTTTTTTCCAAAATTGAGCACAACTGTGAAAAAATTGCTCCAAAGCAAATGTTGTCGAATTTGAAAACCCTATTAACTCAGTATTGAGTACAGTGACATGTGCTCAAAGCAATAAAATTAAGACAGGAAATTACTCAAACTGAGCACATGCTGTATCATTTTTGAGGTTAAGCATTTTGCTCACATATGTTCCTTGTACTTTTGTTATAAACTTATATGTTCTTTGCCTGTTTAAAATTTCTATTACCATTTTCTTAAAATTTAATGTTATGTATGCAAATAAATTAATTTTCATTTTTTTTATAATTTATTAATTTTATTTCAATAATAATTGCATAGAAAGTAATTTTTATCTTGAATTTATTATCAAATAATAGTATGTGTATTGATTCTACTCTTTAATACATGCCAATAGCCCATTGTGCAGCTCTAGTGCGACGTAAATGAACTACATCAACAAAAATCTTTAATACATGAATTCATTTCTTTCTGGGGAATACGCGTAATATACGGTAGAAAAGTAAATTGAATACTCCAAAAATTGAATCCAACATAAATTAAAGTAAAGCGTATAAAATTAAGAAAATTCCCTTCACATTTGCTTTATTTACAATCTATTTTAAACTGGAAGAAAAAAAAATTGCATTAATATATGCACACCTAGTAATTTTTCATAGAT